TGTTGTCGTTCAGTGAGTGTGTAGCTTCTAACGACGCGAGTGTAAGCGTGGATGTAGCCTCCTTCTTTCATTGCGTCCACGAAACAAAAGTTTCCAACTGTCCGGCTTTCGCCGGCAACAACAGCGTGGGAGCACACCTCTCAGACATAGTCCGCCCCTCCTCGAATCTTTGGACTCGAAAAACAATGCATAGGTACTATTGAGTAACCTGCCGAGTGTGGATTCGTTAGATTGAATTGGATATATCACGCAAAGGGGTGCCCCAGAGACAGACGCTTGGCAGTAGAAAAAAGGCTTCTACGATAACAAGACGTTCCCCACTTGCCATCTCCTTACCACGGAATAAATGGCATAGCCGGGACCCACCGCTTGTACTGTATGTAGTCTTATGACGGAAAATCGGCCACGCTCCTCGCTTCACTGCTTCATTGGGCGTGGCCCTGTCGAATTGTCAAGCAGCCATCCCGCCAGTCGAGCATACCAAGGGTGTGCGCGGTAAAAATATCAACTCACGTACTCTAAGCCCACAAATCGAAAATCTATTTCCATGGTGATAATTCTATTTACGTCACCGGTGGCGTTATTTCTTATATACGTCACCGCCCGTATCTCAGCCCACAGAGCTTTGATTGGACGCAAAAAAAATTGCGTTGTGTAGCTATGACCCACACCAATCATACAAGCCTTTCGACGGTCAAATCCGATAAGTGGTTGCGGAGATATGCAAAGGGGGCTCAGCGGTATGATAAACTGTATCTGCCATAAATAAAACGACCGTGCCTCCTCGCAGAGAGTTCTCATCGACACCAACTATGTAACTCGCGTTGTGTTTCCACGATTCACAGCCATCACTTAAGCTTTTGGTGTCGATCGGAGCTCTCTGCGAGGAGGCACGGTCGTCATATTTATGGCAGATACAGTATATCATACCGCTGAGCCCCCTTTTGAGCATATCTCCGCAACCACTTAACGGATTTGACCGTCGAAAGGCTTGTATGATTGGTGTGGGTCATAACTACACAACGCAATTTATTTTGTGCCAATTGAAGCTCTGTGGGCTGAGATAGGGGCGGTGACGTATATAAGAAATAACGCCACCGGTGACGTAAATAGAATCCTCCTTTCCATGGGGGGGATGTATATTCGTAGCCGTGCATGCCAATGTCGTTAGGCCACTGTCTGACCTCGCCTCCCTTCAAAGCCGGGACGGAGCACTCCGCGTTCTCACCGAACAGGCTCTTGCACCACCAAGCGCGAAGCGCCCGTGAGGGATTTGGCGAGTCGCATGTAGAGGGCGATGCATCCTGCTAAGGGTGTTCGGCATCTTGTGCTCACTTCCTTGTGTACGGATGACAGCTGCGCGTGACTTGATTTATTTTCAGGTACGCCCACTTCAAAGAGACAGTTACAACCACTGTGTAATTGCCTCGGGAGTGCTTGACCAATTTGACACAACGTGGTGCGATCATCCACTTTTCGCAAGGTGAGGGTTCTCGACCCCGCGCAAAATAATCTACTCTCGGCCGTGGAGGGGGGTGTTGGAGGGGCGGTGGGGACATTGATAAGACATCCACGGGTTTTATGCCGAGGAGGCATTCTGGCTGAGGCGGCGACATGTACCCGAAATCCTTGGGTAGGTTCTGTGGGTGCACCCTTGTGTGCATTCTCGCTCTCCATCGTGCCTACACGTTCGTTCCTTATTGGTACAGCCAAGACCTACAAGGCATAGCACGGGCAGTACAAGGGGGTGTGACCCACACGGTCAGGTGCTTTTCGCTCGTCGTATCATACGATATGGTAGATATGGCAAGGGTCTGTTTCTTTGATGTGACCCGCCACCGGCTTTCCATGCCCTTCGGCCGGTGGCCTCGGTACACTTAGCCCGCCGAAGAGTTCTCATTAACATTACGATTTGTTCTCTCCCCTCGAAACCATGGAGCACATCTAGAGTAGATCTACGTGGACAAACTGACGAAAAAGTCCGTCACAACAAGTAAGTTAACCTTAATTGAGGTACACACGGCAATCAACAAGTCTTAGTCTTTTGTGTGCAGCTCAATATTTTCGAAGCAGAGAATCTTGCTGGGCTACAACAAAATGCATTACGGCTGAAATTGATTGCAACAGCTTTGCTTGCAACCGCACTGGACCAATCGACGTTGTTGTCGAGGGTGCTGCCAAACATTTCGCGATTCAAGGAGACTCGAACTCAGAGCAACAAACGCGCACGTCAAAATATGGCCCTCGGCCCCCTCCCAAACGCAGAGATATCCATAAATAAGCAATGCATGTGATGCGTCCATGCCGCCGGCCCAGCTGAAACCGGCGCATACGGACGGGAGCACGCCCAACCCTTGGTATTGCCTGCATTCCCAATCTCTCAGGAAACCACTTTTTCTTGGCGCTGTGGTGGTACCGTCGTCTTTACATACTATTTTACTTGCTGCCACGGTAACCGGCCGACAACCCAGCTCCGAGGCAAGAGTAACGCGCACGCTATTGTACACTGCCCGCCTCAACGTGCATGCGTCGCAGGAGCAATGGTAGGTGTGATTGATTCCTAAACCGAACACGCCGAATACACGGGTACCTTTCTTGCCACCATAAACAGCTAACCACGTACAGAACCGAAAGATGCCCCCCGAAAACGTCTGACGCTAGGGGTACTGGGTAGCCTGACCGCTTCTTTTCACGTACGAACAACGCCCAAACAAACCATGTTCATCCCCGGACAACACAGACACTCATCGTGAGGTCAGCACAACACATGGTTCAGAGAGCGCAACACCATATTGGCTGGTCACTCGCGCTCTCGCTCTCCTGAGAGGAGGGGCAACTACGGTGGGTGTTTGCAATGCCTATCAGCAGTTAGTTGAGGGAATCATGAACACTGGTAAAGACTAGCGCATGGTTCTGAAACGCGTCTCTAAACCGGAATGTCGGTGTCGCACAAGGAAATCCACCCGCAACACAAGAAAAATGGTAGGCAAGGGTGACCGACAACAACAAGGGGGGTGATACTTCCTTGACAAGGTTAGAAGTAAGGGCGGGTGGAGGGGGGGGGACCCTGTGCGTAAATATGCCCCAAACGAGCACTCTTGAACAAGAAAAGTAGCCGGCATAAAAAAAACACGGACGATGTGCCTTTTGTAGGTGTCTGCTTCCGTATCCTACGCAACCTGGCCTCACAAGCAAAGCCCAACAAAGGTGTCGCCCGCAAAAACATACCCAAGGCATCACAATGTGCGACCCAGAATCTCGCCTCATGGGACGGATGACTCTGCTCTGGCCCCTAGAAAACAAACGAGACCATCAGCATACAAGGCATCCAAGACACTCGAGGCAATACTACCATGCAGATGTTGGCACAATACCCAGACATATTATTCATTCTAGCTGCTTGGGCGGTGACGCAGCCTCCTGTCTTGCCTCCACGGCGACACCTGACCCTAACTCCATCAGAAGTGCCGCAATGGCAAACTGCAAATGACCGACCGCATGTTTCCAATGACTGTAACTGTTAAGCTTGCTCCCGTTCTCAACCGCAAGGTTACACCAGGTAGAATCATAAAATGTGTTGCTACGCATAACACATTCCTGAACGCGAAACAGATAAAAGGTAAAGAGCACGTAGGGGCGACTGGTTTACTCCCGCTTTCCTCCCCACGCGATTCAGTCTATGTTGCTCCGGAAACCCGGCACTCTCCCTTGTGCCCGGCCTGGTCTGTCAACCGGCAGGTAAGAACGGAACACTACACCCCGCACAAGCTCAGCGTGCGAAACCGACAACACCACACTCACCGACATCGTGCCCACACCATATACAAATCCCACCCGCGCCCCGCCGTCTCCCGACAAGTCTGTACACCCCAGGTTCAATACACTCTTATGCACACCGTAGGCGATAAATAAACTAGATCGGGCACTTCTTTCTGGATGCGAACCATGGGTCTGCCGAAGCACAACCGACAGACGTCGCAGGGGTTTATCCAATCCGGATTCCGTAGTATTACCCGGAAGTCTGGCTCTTAATATGGCAAACCGCCGTGCTTGGAAAACGGTTTCGTGTCAACACCTCCAAACAAATCGCATCGCAGCGCAGCTCCGCGCACATATCATGCCTGCAAGCTAAATTAGAAAATACAACAGATTAATGTACCTGTAGCTCTTGCTGAATGTAAATCTAGACCCCTTGACCCATTCATGACGCCGTCGCTCGGGGAAATCAATCTGTCCCCCCTTTTTCCCCGAACAGGGAAGGGCATCAGAATTTCTCTCTCTCCAGCTACTCAATTACACGAACAGACAGACTGGCTTGGCCTGACCCTGTCTTTTCGGTCCAGGCGGACAGACATCTGTAGATAACAATAAAAAACGATACACACTGACCCCCGCTCGGAAATCGTTTCCGCGCAACCAGGAAAGGTCGGAACGGACGCCTGACCGGGCGGGTGGTGGTTCTCAAGGGTCGGTTCAGTCGCTGGGGCGGTCGGGCCACTCCAGCAGGGGCGAGCGGTAGCAGAGACGGCAGTGCCTCACCGCCTCGGTGAAACCCCACTTCATCGTATATTGGTCATGGTCGTCGCGTTGGAGTTAGAAAGCGTGGGCCGGAGGGAGTACAACAGCAGTGTTGTGGCGGCGAGGAAACAATGGTCATGTTGTCAGAAAGGACTCGACAAAAGCACGTATTGGCATGAATCACAGACGAGTAAAACTGCAGTTTGCATGGCCCACAACAACAATAGTAGCTGGAGTGCGACGGGCGTTGCACAGCGCACCGCCGGTCGCATGGCATTACACAACGTTTGCGTGTTGTTAACCACGCCATCCAAACAATCGATACAGCATCACTTCATACACTTGAGGCGATGGCTCCTTGTGGAGAAAGACATCTGTGAAACACGTGCGAGAAAGTTCTCACGCGGCGAGCCTCCTCCGGATAGACGGCGTAGATCAAATACAAACCCTCGCTTGCGAACAACCCAGGAAACTACAGGGGGATGACACTGTTGAACACAGTAGTAAAAGTGTTTTGTAAGCTGCTGAACGATAGGATAGTGGGAGCATTGGAGAAGGAACATAGCATTAGTGAGGGCCAGGCAGGTTTCCGCAAGAAGAGGGGGTGCGTAGACCACGTGTTCACGGTAGGGAGAATCATCCAAGGTAGAAAGAGGGCGGGAAAGCCGACGTACTGCTTCTTCCTGGACGTGAAAAAGGCATACGATACCGAAAGGAGAAATGGGTTGTGGAAATAACGGTCCAAATACGGGATCAAGGGGGGACTGTGAAGAGTGCTGAAGAAGATGACAGAGTGCACGAAAAGCGCGGTCATGCTAGACGGAGAACTGTCAAAATTCTTCGACATTGAGCAGGGGGTCCCACAAGGTTGCACGCTGTCCCCAACATTGTTCCAGGTGTTCATCAACGATCTGTTGGAAGTCGTAGAGGCAGTCCGGAAGGGAGTAAAAGTAGGGGACACGGAAACGTCGGTTTCAGGAATGCTGTTTGCGGATGATTTTGTCGGTATGTCGGACACCCCTGAGGGACTGCAACTGCAAATTGACGCGGCGAAGAAGTTTACTGATAAGTGGAGATTGTCTGCCAACGTTCAGAAGAGTGCCGTCATGGTATGCAACGAGAACAAGGAGGAACCAGTAGAACATAGATGGAAGTGGGGGATCGAGGAGATTGCAGTAGTGGACCAGTACACATACCTCGGAGTAGAGATCGCAAAAGACTGCTCGTGGAATGCACACATGTCCAAGGTAGCGGAAAAGGGCAAAGCACGAGCAGGGAAGCTGCACCCAATACTCGCAAACCGGCACCTCGATACACGCATCAAATTGACGGTTTTGAAGAGCAAAATCGTACCGCCGCTAGAGTACGCCGGAGAAGTATGGGCAGGAAATAACAAGGTAGTGAAAGAACTCGAGGCGCGCAGATGAAAGCAGCGACAAA